TTTTTCTTCTCGTAATTTTTAATATTTAAATTGTACTTCCTAACTTTTCTTCTTTTAATATTAATTCTGTTTTTTTAAACTGTATTTTTAGATTATATTCCTGAAATCGTTAACCTTTTATTTAAATGTCCTTGTTAACTGTTAACTTATCTTTCTCTAATCTTTAATGTTTAATTCTAATGGTTCTTGTACTTCATCTATATTATGAGAATTGATCCTAATAGCATTGAGTGATCAGTTTAATGTTCTTTTTTTTTTTTTTTTTTAGCTTTAATGTTTTATTCACACCTGTCATAATGCTAATGACAACCAGTGAATGTGAGATCGATTGATTAATAGAATTGTCATGAAAGGCATGAGGAGGATCAGTGCCCAGCGGCACCTCACTCGGCGTGATATCTACATTAGGCGAGGAGGTCCCTCATCCAGCTCCTCTTCAGTCTCCTACAGACGTTACCGGGCATATTCGTAGTGGCCATGTCATTTATAAGTGTATTAGTATGTCCTTGTAAGTTGTCATGGAATCGTTTGTAATGAATACGTATGTGTTCGTTAACAGTCGGCATATGGAGGTCAGTATGTAAGGTTATGTTGCTAACGTACCAAGGTGCTTTTGTAATTGTTCTGAATGTTTTTGCTTGAAAGATTTGAAGTTTGTTTAAGTGAGTCTTTTTAGCAGTTCCAAATATCTGTGATGCGTAAGTCCAAATAGGTTTTAGTAAGTAATTGTATGTGTTCAATTTCTGTCTAAGTTTTAGTTTTGAATTTTTTGAAAGAAGTGAACTCAGAATTCTTAATCTTTGATTTAAAGTTTTTCGTTTTTTGATTATATGTGGGCCCCACGTCATTTTTCTGTCAAATGTCAGACCAAGGTAGTGAACGGTGTCTGTCTGTGGAATCTGTGTATCGTCAAGGAAAACTGGAGGGCATGTTTCATGTCGAAGCGTAAATGTGATGTGCTGTGATTTGTCTTGATTTAGTCGGATTTTCCAAATTTTGAACCAGTCATGTAATCTAGTTAAATACTGTTGTAGGGTCTGTGAGGCGTATGTTGGATTTTTGTGTCTTGCTAAAATTGCTGTGTCGTCTGCATATGTCGCTGTTAAAATGTTGGGACTACAAGGTATGTCATGGGTGTATGTGATATAGAGTAGTGGAGAGAGTACTGAACCTTGAGGTACTCCTGCTGAGATAGACCTGATGGAAGATAGTTCTGACCCGTGTCGGACCGAGAAAAATCTATCGGAAAGGAAGGATTGTAGAATTAGATAATATGTAGGTGGGAGTATTGTCTTGAGTTTAAAGAGAAGACCCTGGTGCCAAACTCTGTCAAACGCTTGAGCAACATCCAGAAATACGCCAGTTGCATATACTTTCTGCTCTAGTGCTGTAGATATGTAGTCCGTTACTCTATGTAGTTGGTGTATAGTTGAGTGATGTGCCCTAAATCCAAATTGATGGTCAGGTATTATTTGGGTGTTTGTTAGTATATCAACAAGTCTTTTGTTCAGTAAGCTTTCAAAAATTTTGGAACAGATAGGTAGTAAGCTGATTGGTCGGTATGAGGAAGGTGAGTTTTTGTCCTTTTTAGGCTTGTGAATCATTATTATATGTGAGTATTTCCACTGTAGGGGAAATTTAGTTGTCCTCAGTATTGCATTATAAATAGTTGTCAAAAGCACTAGAGCTTTTCTAGGCATTTGTTGGAGCACTTCAGCGTTAATCAAGTCATGTCCAGGAGCTTTTCTTTTAGGCAACTTTTTGATTTGTTCAGCAATCTGTGAAGGTGTGAATGAAATAGGAGGTGAAGTTAGTTGTAAGGGCATGTCTAAAGTGTTTAGTACATTGTTATCGTGCACAGTGTTAGTGAAGTCTGTGTGTGGTACAAAAACAGAAGAAAGATATTCGGCAAAGAGTTCTGATTTTTCTCCGTCCGTCACGGCCCAGGAATCATCTTGTCTTCGAAGGGGTGCTGACACTTCACGATGCTTAATAAGGTTTTTAGTATGTCTCCACAAGCTTCCATCGTCGGTTGAGAGATTTCTGATGTAGTTGTCATAGGTTGTTCGTTTGAATTTTCCAATCTGTCGCTTGAGTTCATTATTAAGTCTGTTGTAAGTTCGTTTATCTGATGGGAGTCTGTCAGTCTGCCATATTTTGCGAGCTCTCCTCTTCGCTCTGATCAAGTCCCTTATGTATTGTGGGTACATTGGTAGGAACTCATATTTTTGAGGTTTTGGTACTGATGAAGACCATGCTGCTTCTTGGATATTTCGTGTGAAGTATTCAACGGCATCCTCAAGTTCTTCTTCGTTTTTAATGGATAGAGGAACAGAGAGAGCAGTGTCCAAATGGTTCTTGTACCTGTCCCAATCCATTATGCCATTGATCAGGGACAGTTTTTTTGTAGCTTCACAAGGCTCTTCAAACAATACCAAATGCAAAAGGGAATGATCAGAGCAAAGATCTGAACTCGTTGTTATAGTGTGAGGTGTTGTTCGGAGTCCTTTAGTTATGAAAAAATCGAGTAAGTCTGGTGATTTTAATGTTCTAAATTCTAATATTTACGTTTTCTTGGCAATAATTCAAGCGATGAAATTCATAGTTTGAACAGTTTTCGCCACTGAATATACTTAACCAGTATATAACTTTAAATTTGATTAAGTTTTACAGGCTTCCAATACAGCGGTATCACAACTATTTTTTAGTATTGAAAGTGGGATTGATAAAAATCTAAGTCGAAATACAAATCTTAATAACGCTGCTCTATCTCAATTTCGTTTATTGTTTATAAATTAAAAAACAATAAATTATGAGTGTCTAAGAAGTGGCTTAAAGTGCTCAACCAGATGCACAAACAGTAAGTAATTGCAAGATATCGCAGCTGATCATATTAAAAAAAAGGATATGTTGTTTTCGAAGAGTTGCACGAAAGTACCGATTAACGAACAGATGTTCAACAAGACGCTTATTAACATATACATAACATTGATACATAAATTCGATAACCTCATAGTTTTTTTATATAAACTTCAGAACTTTTTATAAGTTAAAAACATAGAATTGTAATGAACAATTCTAACAAGTTCCAGCTTTCAAATCAATCCCTAATTTTACTGTACTTGGATTAACGGTTGAAAACTTAATGCATACTATTCATACCTTAAATTTTGAGCATCATAAATTTTAAAAAAATTACGGAACAATTTACGGCAACCAAATATCGACTAACAGACAATTAATCTTTATTAATTACTAATAATTAATAATTATTATTAATTATTATATTATTACAGTTTTCGTAATATCTTCTTAACGCCATGGCAATGGCTGATATGCACATCCGAAGACGACTTGCTGATTGCGACTAACATCTGTAACAGAATAAAGCTATTAGACAAAAAGAAAAAATAATAATAAAATATATTTGATAAATATGGTCAAGATGAAGTCATTTTTAGGGTTTTATTGGTATAGACATTTCAACCTAACCGTGTGGTTCATCATTAAAGCTGAAAACATAAATAATAATAAAATAAATGATACATTTTTAAGAATATTATAACAACTACAAAAATAAACCAACGATACTTATTATAAAATATAATGATCTTGTGTACTATTTATTTGTTGGTGTGACAAGTTAGAAATAACTTTTAATTCATATTTGCTTTATTATTTGATACAATGTTTCTTTTACAAATAGAAGAAGTTGCTGTTCTTAAGTATTATGATTTTATTTTTTATTAGGAATCTAACAATGATATTTTTTAATGGAATTTATGGATATACATATGGAGGCACTCCATTTTTCTTTCCTATAGTGCCACGAATTTACGCCATTCTTCGAGTATTTCCCTTCATATTTAAACATGCATGAATGAAGATTAATCAGTATGAAAATGAAGGTCATTTGTTATAAATTCGAGTTGCACCATTAAATCCAACGTCACACTCATGGAGGATCTGGTATTCAGTACTTTGTAACGAAACGCTGTTTCTTGGTCAGAGTTTGTGAAAGGGGATGATTTGATGAAGATCAAGCTCAACCGCCAGGTTTTTGCTATGGGATTGTTTCTGAATTAAGAGTAATCACTTTATAGAGGCTAACTGAGCCTAAGGCCGATATAACATAATAAATAATTACTTATAACTGGACTCAAATCAGGAGAATATGTGTCTAATATCTTACTCACTGAGCTTCACTACTTCCGTAGATTTATGTATATTTATAATATGACTTTGTAATTGTCAGGAATTCTATAAATAATAATATTCTATATATTGTAAAAAATAAATAATGCATTACATTTTTTTGGGGGGGGAGGTGATAAATATTCAGGACACAGTCTTTATTATTTTTTTTTATTTTTGCCAACGTTTCAACTCAATTATGTGGGTCATCTTCAAGGCGTGGTTTGAGCACTGAAGATGACCCACATGTTTGGGTTGAAACGTTGGCACAAATAAAAGATTTAAAATATTTTGAAAAGACTGCGTCCTGAATATTTATCATCCCTGATATTATATTTTTTATACAAATATAAGATTATATTTTTTTATACAAATATAAGATTATATTTTTTTATACAATAGCCCCAAAAAGAACACTTTTTTTCTGTTTTTGATATAATTATAAACGTAATAATATTAATTTTGGATTAATCATCTCATGGCAATTAAAACGGAAGAATTCTACTTTCAATTACAATTTCAAAATTATGCTTTCAATTCTACTTACGCTTGTACTGTTTTTAAAATGGAAGCGAATCTAGAATTTAGAAAACGTAGATCATATAAAATTACACTTGCTACGGTCTGTTCCATGTTGTCCTCTGGTTTGAAACTTTTCAATCCAAAAATATTGCTCCTTCGGAAATTCAAAACAGTAAAAATGAGTCCCCTCAAAAAATATAATGACGCGCCATGAAACTCCTTTCTGTGCATCCCTGACGAGATTATCTTAAAACTTCAGAAATTATCTGAATTATTTCAACATAAATCAATGTCGACATCAAGTATCATTTCCCATGATATATTTTATCATCCAAGTTAGAGATTGATTGACAAATCCTCTTAATTTAAAGAGGTTTACCATATATAAAAAGCCACTCTCAACAATTTGAGGTACAAACGTTTCAGTCATCAACAAGATACATCACGTAAAGGTAAGAAAAGTCTTAATAAATTTGTCCTGAACGGTAGTTCCACAAGCTGGCTTTTGCTAATTATAATTTTAAATTACTGTTTTAATGTATGTGGGTATATAGATAATTTTTAACGGTTTGTGTTCCATAACATATTATGTTAGCCAGTATTTCTGCTATAAATATACAATATTTTCATAATTATTGTGAAAAATTCAAGCACACAAACTATTAAAATAACATATATTTAATTTCTCTTCCACGACTTTAACAGATCAGAACAAAAAAAAAGTTTATATTAGTTTTTATTGTAATATGTACATTATGTGTTTTTTTCCCAATGTTCATCTTAAGTTCAACCCTTAAACGCTAAACACGGTGTTATAATCCTCTGCTCAGTTGTATTCGTGAGTCAAGTTGTGCGACGTTAAGTGCCCTAGCTTAAAGGCAACCTAAAAATCCAAATGTTCGCTACAAATATGTTGTGATTTCTCTGTATTTTTTATATTTTTACTTTTTAATGTCTCAAAAGTTAATAAGAAAATACAAATGAATCACCTAAATCCAAATGTATTGAGATTATATAACAATTTAGCGAGGCCTTTTCTGTAGGCCACTGTCTATTCCAGTAATCTACTGGAGAATTTATTTCAAATAAATATTAAAAATTAGAACAAAATATGTGTGCATCATCATAAAATATTTTTATTAAATTTAATATCCAACCATAAAAAAAAATTCAGCATCGAAAATACTTATATAATAATAAAATAAGTTTTGGAATATAAAAAAAAAAAAACTCCGCTTCGGAAATTGACAAATTCTATTCATCCTAGGGTAATGTACTCCCATATCTACTTAAGCATACTGGTGTATATTGATAGAAAAATTAATGTCACGTAAATTTAAATTTGGTATTAGTAATATTCGGGTGCCCAACACACCCCGAACAAAACTTAAGACTCATATACATGATGTACTGTTATACAATACAATCTATTTGTCCGAAGCATTAATCTGTAGTAAAAAGCACTCTACTATTACACCAAGTTTAAATATAAGTTGATATCAATTTCCCTATAAATCTCTCAAGATGTTTAAGTAGATATGGAGTTACATTACTCTAGGATGGATATAATTTCCCAATTTCTTTAATCAGGTTTTTTGATTAGTTCAATTTATTTTTTTAATTTTAGCAATTTTTGTTTTTGAAATATTAACAATTTTTGTCATAATGTATGATCACATTTCAAATCAATTAATAATCGAGATACTTAAACTATAATAAAAAATTGTTTTAATACGAGCTCGTATCTTATGCTCAAATTGTTTTAAAACATTTACTTCGCGATCACCCAGAGCAACTACAGCCATCAAAGTTAAAAATCGGTCATGTCATTTTTTTTTCACTAAAAAAAATTGTAACTTCCCTTTAAACGGATTGATTAAACACACTATACACTGTAATTTCTCAAAACTTTGAGCTCGAATTCTTTCAAAATACTCACAGGATTTCACCGACTAATTTGAGATATGAAAAATCAAAAAATTGAAAGTCGATCAAGCCGCTTGCTCAAAAAAATATTATATATCTTCTATAAAAAATCGAAGGCATTTTATTAATTGATTAAACACATTTAATTTAATAGTGAGTCAGTATATTTAGCTGAAATTGTTTTAAAACACATAGAAGATCTAAAATACAGAATAATTTCAGCCATCAAACTTATAAATTGATGCAACCATTCACTTAAAAATACGTTACAAAGCTATTTGAAAATTGATTAAACACATTTCATTTAATAACAAGTCATTATTTTTAGCTCAAATTGTTTCAAAACACTCAGTGGATCTTACCGAATAATATGAGCCATAAAACGTAAAAATTGACAAAGTCGTTCGCATAACACACAATAGAGCGTTACATAGTTTTTTGTGGACGAACCAAACACATATTCTTTGAGTCCCTTCGTTTACGATTTGTCGGGTAAATATATGTTTAAATATAATTTGTTATCTTAAAAGTTATTCTGATAATGGGTTAAAATTTTAGAAACTCGAACTTACAGTTTGAAGTAGGCTCTTGAATTGTAAATTTCCCATTATGTTTATCTTAGGGCGGGAGGGTGGTACACAAAATGTTTGATCACAATTTCTGATGTTTGAAGTAAGTGATTAATTTTTAAATTCCCCAGATTAAAAAAAAAAAGCTTGAGGAAAGAGGGTGTAATCATGTGTTTAACACGATTTCTTTAATTTTATATTTCTCTTCTAAATTAAAAATGAGGATTAAAAAAAATATAAACTGATCTAATGGGGGAGGAAATTCAACGCACGACATCCCCGAGCGTAATATAAGCGTTTAACAGAGCTCGATGATAAGCGTTCCCAAAAAACTAGAAGCAAAATGCATGTAAAAATCGTATGTTTCAATATGCCCGTCGTTATAGTAATTATATACCAAATCGTTAAAAGTTACCCCAATTTTGATCACTTCGATCAAACAAACAAAATTGAAATTGAAAAGATGCAGCTAACATTTATTAAGTAATGTTAAAAAATGAAAAAGCCATTTGTAACTGCTACATTATCGCCAAGAAACATATAAAAAAATATTTTAAAGATATAACAATCTCAAATAACATTATTATAGTATCTAAAAATTTTAATAGCTATTCTTTTCCTTAAAATTTTCTCAAAATTTTGCCAAGAAAAACGTCTCCTTAAATTAGGAGAAATGCAAGAAATTAAGAAAACTATTCAAAAACTCGAGTCGGTGACCATTGTGCAAATTTATGGAGAAAAAATAAAACAAGGAAAGATATAAAGAATATATATTAATTAAATAAATTCATTAATACAACTATATTTCAGGATGAAAGTTATATTACTTCTCGCTATGGTGGCGTTTGCAGCAGCTACGCCTGCCATTAAGGAACAATGGACATCTTTTAAGGTTAATATAAACCAAAATATATCATATCGAGTTCAATATCTATTGATAATTTAGAGTTGTTAAATAACTTAACAACAAATTGTAAACGATTTTTTTAAAATTTATATTTACAGAGACAACATGGAAAAACTTACAACAGCATTGAAGAAGATCGTCTTAGGATGAATATTTTTACAGACCATCTGAAGATGATCGAAGAACATAACGCTAAATTCGAAGCTGGTCTAGTAACATACTCAATGAAGATGAACTTTTTAGGAGATTTGGTAATATATTGGAAGAGTGTGCAAAACAGTATAACTTAGTCTTTGGTGAGTTATTGTATATTTAATTCAATACCTTACAGCTACCAGAAGAAGTGACCCAGTTAGGATTTAACAGAACTGGAGAGATGAGGCAAGTACCCAGCTTCACTTTCATTCCTCCCGCAAACGTGGAAATCCCAGAATCCATTGACTGGAGGACATCTGGTGCAGTCACCCCAGTGAAAAACCAAGGTAGCTGTGGATCATGTTGGGCTTTCAGCAGTGTATGTATAGCGATTGATTAGTATCTGCAATGATAAATATCCTGATAAACAAAAGTAAGAATACAATTCTCAATTTTAGACTGGAGCCATAGAAGGTCAGCTCTTCAAAAAGACAGGAAAACTCGTCTCTCTCAGTGAACAGCAACTCATGGATTGTTCATATAGCTATAATAATAGTGCGTGTAGAGGCGGATTGATGGATAACTCTTTCAACTACTTAAAGGATGTTGAAGGATTGGAAAGCGAAAATTCATATCCTTATGAAGGAAAAGTAAGAATTTTTTTTAATATACTAATTAACAAACAATTAGTCTTAAAGCAAATTTATTTTTAAAATTTCGGCATGTAAGAACGTTTTTCTCTGTTTTTAAAATATAACGCATATTCACAGTTTCTCCTAATAAAGTTGGAAGGTTGAAATTTTGTACCTATATTAAGTTGGTATTGGAGAGGTTCCTTCGGGGTGTATCAATAAAAGCCGCCATCTTGAAACGAAATGGCGCCTGATAATGATATACCCCAAGCCGGAAACCATGTTTCTCAATAGACTACAGCACTAAAACGGCTGAAACGGTATTGATACAAATTTTCTAAAGTATTCTCTATAGAACACTATAAATTTATGTATGTATTATAGTTCTATGTATGTATTTATGTAAGTATTAAGTTCCTTGAAAAAGGACTAAAAAAGAAGTTTTGATGAATGCAAAGTTATATTTGCGAATTACGCAAAAAGTATCCATTTTAACCATTTTTGTGCCAGAACATATTATGAAGACATTTAAATTTCCTAAACTATAAAAAAAATATCACCGAAATCCGTCCAATAAGACAACAAACAAAGATACGGCATATGATTTTTTAGGACAAGCAGAAACAAAGGTCATTTTTGCTTTAGAACGTTTGGTAAATATTGAGAACAACATATCTTTTCGCCATACGTCCGATTTTAATAATTTTTTTATTTTTCAGGTTGTTTAATACAGTTTCAAATGACTATACAATATACAGTAATATCAAAAAAGTTTTTGTGTTTTTCGAAAATCCGATTTTACCGTCGTAATTATTTTTTCAGATTATTTTTGGCGAAGTAAATTATTGACATAAATTTAAAGTTTTTTGAGGAGAAGACTTTGGCCATGTTTCATTAAAATCGGTTCATCGGTTTCGGCGCTGCATCCGTTTTTTTTTTTTTTTTTTTTTTTTTTTTTATATGGCAAATACACTCGTAGAGCCCTAGTTGAGTATTATAAAGATACCTTATTAAAAAAATAAATTATTTTTGAAACTTTCTAATCTAAGTTAATAAATGTTTTCCAATGTGATAGGTAAAATCGGTCTTTGGGATACCCTATACATATTGAACTTATAATTATTGAAATATATTAACTCATTGGCTATTAATTTGCAAAGATTTTATTCCTCTATTCACCCATGAAACAATTTGATCCCTTTTTATGTTCTTATAATTAAAAATAACAGGAAAATCGAACCTCAGTGACCGAGCTCTGCAACTCAGGCTTTTTTTTCTTTAATTTTCTAAATGAATAATCGTAAATAGCAATCAGCAAGTGTATATAAAAATGATAATTCCGTTTTCAGAATAAGAGATGTAGATACAACGAAAACAAAGTAGTACCAGGAACCAAAGTCAAAGCTTACACTGACATCGAGGAATTGGATGACGACGCTCTTAAGGCAGCCGTAGCTACAGTGGGACCCATCTCAATTGCAGTCACTGCTGACAACAGAGGTTTCAAGTTCTATGGATCAGGTTATTATTAGTATATTATACTGGTAATTGTATTAATGGCAGAACTCTGACTGATAATATTTGCTAAAATAAAATAAATGATTGAAGGTGTTTTTGATGGAGAAACATGCGGGAATAAGTTGGACCATGGAATCCTCCTGGTAGGCTACGGATCTGAAGACGGCGAAGACTACTGGCTCGTCAAGAACTCCTGGGGCCCAAGGTGGGGAGAGAATGGTTTCATGAAGTTGACAAGAAACAAGAAAAACGCCTGTGGCATTTCATCTATGGCAAGCTATCCAATCCTTCAATGAGAACCAGAAACGATATTTCAATTAATCTGTTTCACTTAATCTTTTTTTTCTGCTTCATTGGTACATTACTTCATTAAATTTTGGACCAAACAAATCTAAAAGGATAATAAACATTAAAGTCACTCCAACAGAACTTCAAATTAGTTAAATAAATGCCTTTATGCATTAATTTATTTATTCTTTCTTCCTCACCTGAATTTTAAGTAATTCGAAAGGTTTTTTAACATCATGTAACTAATACCAGGGATTTTCCGGCAATACGAATCCTTGTCTTGATTTTAATGGATAATTAATATGTGATAAATACAATATGTTTAATACATGATATCATATGATACGATGGAAACTAACAAATATTTGTATATTACTTATTTGTTACATTTTTAAGCTTTTTATTATTTATTTATTTGCTCATGATATTTACAATTGCATTAATATAAAAATACATCTAGTAAATAGTGTACACATTAATAATTTAATCACATGAAAACACTACTCAGTGACTAACTACCAGTAACCATTAGTAACACTCTTATATATATATTTATATAAATGCAAAATCATTCCCGAGATTAGAAAAAATAAAATACCTTGGCTTCACAATAACATCAATGGCCAATGGGCAGAAATAGACGAGAGTATAAATTGCGCAAACAGAGCTTTCTTTTCCTTTCAAAGGTATTGAAATCCCGAAAAATCTCTAGAAATCTCAAATTAAGAGTGTACAATGCTACGCTAAAGCCAGTTCTAATATATGGCTGTGAGACCTGGATACTAACCAATATCCTAGAAAACAATGTTGATAGATGTGAGAGAAGAATCCTCCGCACGATAACCGGAGCGATCTGGGATCAGAGTATTAACTCATGGAGAATAAAGACCAATGAAGAACTGCTTACAGAAATTGGTCAATCAATATTCCATCATATGAAGACACGCAGGCTAAGATGGGCAGGGCATGTAGTTTGTAGCGATCCATCTGGAAGTCTCTACGTAACTATGAATGCATCAATAAATGGCAGATGGATGGATACAATAAAAAAATATGAACTAGAGCTGTCTGCAGATAAATAGAAAGAAATAGCCCAAAACAGCCAGCGATGGATCAGGCTTTTTAAGGCGGCAAAATATCAACATGGTCTTTTATGCGAACAGAAATATATACATATTGATACTAAAAAAAATTATGAAAATCTGATTACTTGGTGCTGAGATCTGCCCTTTTGAAATTGTTTAATATGTAAAAATGCAATTTGCTTTGTTTTGATTTTTGATTATTCAAAAATTTTATTCTTTACAAAATATCAAAATAGATTTACTGGAATTGGGAGGTTTGTTAAAGATTCAAGGCGATCAGGATCATGTCCGAATGATTCGTGACTAATAACGTATCCTAAAAGATGAATACTTGTTTCAGAACCACTTATCAATATTTACCGTAAGACGATATTTCAATACAACAATTATGAAATCATTTAAATTTTGATCCTGCTCCTCTTGAGTCTTGCCACAGCCTGCTATGTCGTCTAAGTAAGCGAAGACTCCTTTTATAATTTTCTCGCTCTTTGAAAAGTTGGGGCTCTATTAGTCATACCAAATGGGATTCGGTTGAACTGCCAAAGGTATCCGTGGTATCGAATGAAAGGGCAGTTCTTCAAGCAATAGATGTCTAATGATAAGCATTATTGAGATCTATGGAGCTATTTTAAGTAAAGTTAGCAACTTCATTCACTATATCACTGACCAGGGGCAAAGGGAAGACCTTCAAACTGGTAAATTTATTTATTCTATTTGGCCGGTAATGAACTACCAGTCTTCTTCTATGATTTTCTGTCATAACCACCAATACCTGGGTTTGCCATGGAGACCTGCTTTCTTCGACGATTCTATCTTCTAATAGCCTGTGAATTTCTTGCTCAATGAATAAGGAGTCTGACCTAGAGATTTTATAGTAAATAGGGGTAATATACAGTCTGGGTAATATGCGTGATCGCCTAGGCTGGTTCTATGTTCTACGTTAGACTAGATAACAGTAGTGAGGCTGTTCTATCCCGAACATGACCTCTAAACTTAAATTTCCTTTAAGAATGGCATGACCAATTATAATGACTTCACACAAATCAGGCAGGACGCTGAAAATGAAATCTTCATAAAAATAATCTTGGAGAGTCAGGGCTACATTGTAGTGTTTAGTAATAGCCTTAGTAAACGTTGCCGATGTCATGGATACCTAGTCGAATTTACAGGACCTGAAAAGGGTATTATGTCGACAAGAAAAGTTTTCATTGATAATACTTATGAACTACTAATGTCAATAAGGACATGAGCTTCCAGTTTGTTAACCTTCGCTTGCTAGGGACCAACTATATGTTCCTAATTCTAGTATTTACGTTTTGCTGCCAACAATTCAAACTTTAAAACTTCTAGTTTGGACAGTTTACGTATATACAAGACTTGGTCATTATTTCAAAACATACCAACATGAAGAGATGTACGACCTGCACCTCCCAGTTTACCCCGCTCTGTCAGATGTCCGCAGTATTTCTGATGGGATCGGAACAAATGTAAACAAAGAGTTCATGTTATCCATCCATGCTGGAAGCCGGGGAACAAACTTTGATGGAGAAGTCAAAGCCATTTCGGCAGCATTGACTGAAATAAATAAAGAACTCACTTATTCCCAAGTTGTGATCTTTGTCGATTCACAAGCAGTCATACTGTCGATCTGCAATGGCCTGAACCATCCTGATGTCACTAGTGCCAGAAATCAGATTAATGACTTAATTAAAAAAGTCTGCCAAGTAAGGTCAGTATAGCTTCCTCACCGTTTCCGTTGTATATTACAAGGTATAAATTTTTTCGTATGAGAATAAAATCTCTGAGAGAAGCAGAATCGGAATAGCCGATTACAGTTACCCTTCAACATTCAACAAAAGAGTGTCATATTTGAAGATTCCATACTTGATTATACTTAATAAAAAAAAAAAATAAAAAAATGCATACTGAACATGAATTTCCATACTGTTAGTGCAAAAGGTCTATTGTTTGCAAGGTTTATTGTTAAAGGTTAAAGGTGCAAAGGTTTATTGTTTTACAAGAGTGCATAAAAACTCATTATTTCTGTATGCTTTACTAGAATAATTTCATATTTTATTGTCATCTGCTATTTTCTATAGTAGCAGACTACTTATATCAGTTGCATACTACAAGATGTCACCATTAATACACATAGAATTAAAGTTGAAAATTTTACATTCGAACTTTGCTCTGATAATAGTGATATACACTACCGGATCCAGATTTAATTTTGGGGAGGGGCTTCAGCCCGAAAGTTTATATATATAAACGATAATTAATTTTTTTAAAATCCACTGCAAATTATTTCACTATGGTATATTATTTCCAAACAATTATACATATAAAGTAACATTAAATTCCTAGTTATAAATAAAAATAAATAAAAGGTGATTCCAATTATTGGACTAAACTTTTTTTTAATCATTAGTAATATGCTAAAAAATAGCATTACTTCAGTAACACATTCAAAAATCAAAACAAAAGATAAACCTTTTGCAATAACACATCTAAAAAAAACTAGAGACCATATCTTTCCTCCTAATTGTCCGATTTTAACGATTTTTTTTTTTGTTTTTTTAGGAAATTCCACAAACTTTTAAAAAACCATATACAATATCAACAGAAAAGCGTACACTTTTTGAGTTATTCGGAATATAATTTTAACATTCCTCGTAACGTTTTTTGTAGCTTCCTTTCGTTGAAGTATGTTATATAGATAAATTTAAAGGGCGTAGAGAAAATGACTTTAGCGAAGTTTCGTTAAAATCGGTACATTTGTTTAGTGCATTTACATCGGATTTATTGGAATTTATTTTAATTCTCCAGTTCTGACACCATTCTTCAAGGTTTGTGATGTGGGATTGAAGGGTTTGGGATGCAATAGATGGGTCGATATTAACTGATAGGATACATGTGTCATCAGCATATGTGGTGATGACAGTGTTGGGATGGGTTGGGATGTCAGCTGTATAAACTGTGTAAAGGATATGACCTAGGATACTACCTGAGGAACACCTGCAGACTGGGAAAAACGGGATATATAGACATTGTTGTGATTTACTTTAAAGTATCTATCAGTAAGGTAGGAACGGATAATGAGGAAGTAGGTAGATGGTAGGAATTTTCGGACTTTGTACAGCACTCCCGGGTGCCAAACTCTATCAAACGCCTGTTCAACATCGAGAAAGGCTCCCGTACAGTACATACCGCGCTCCAAGGAACAAATGTAAACAAAGGATTCATGGCGGAGTTGTATTGGGCTGCCAGAAGCCGAATGGCCTAATAGCCAACGGCAGAGGCGTTTAATAAAAAAAAAAGAAAAGTTTTTCAAATAATTTGTTTTAAAAAATAAAACAAATTACATTTTTTACTTTCCTACCTATACTAGGTAAGAAAAGTATTGCGATCGGGTCAAATCGGTTTTGCTGCTTCTTTTTTATTTTTTTTATTTCTAAAATGTTAAAATACAAAAAAAATTGTAATTTATTTCCAAGCTCCTAAAATATAAAAGAAGAACTTTTATTTTTATCAAAGATGCTAAAATACAAAAAAATGTATTTTATTATTTACTTTAAGTACACAAAATAAATCATTATATAGAACAGGCCCTCTGTGTTATTTAACTTGAAGGTGTTGCCATAGACCCTCAAAGATAGAGGCAACAGAAAAAATAAAATAAAAAAATATTTTATCGGGTCTGTTTTGCTTTCCTACCGCAAAGTACTCATTAAAAACATATCATTTCGGTTCAAATTGTTTTGTACTAATACCCGGCGTGTTTAGGTACTAAAATAATAATTGTCTGCAATTATATGCTACAATCATCCTTTGTGAGTAAAATAGAATGTTTTTGTGGTTCACCTTTTATTCTTTATTTTGATTTCAAATAAATACATTCAATGTTGTCAATTTTATTTGTCATTGTTGAAAAAGCTTATACCCATTTGTTTATATATTTGAATATGAAGTTATATTATAACTGTTTTAACAACGTAACAGAAAAATAAATCACACGTTTTTATTGAAACGTGATTTGAAGTAGCCAGTAAAAAAGACCCACTGTATCTTAAAATAATATTTAAAATACATTTTGCCCAGGCCTGGAATATACTCAGCCGCACACTTCCTATTTAATTGTGATTCCAATATGGCGGCATCACAACTCTTGTGAAATTGGTGCTTAAAAAGATGTACACCCCATAACATATTCCTATACCGCTGCTTTGTGTCATATTTTTTCCTTGTTTGTAAATTGTAAAATGGTAAACTGTGAGTGCTGAAGAAGTGGATAATAGTGCTTCACCAGGTGCACAAACAGCGGAGGTAGTTATTGTAATATCACGCCAGACCATCTTCAATCTGAAGATGTTTTCTTCGAAGAGAACACGAGAATACCGATTGTTTAACAATAACAATATGCTTATTAATTTACACATAATTATCATTTATTTTATATAACACTAAGAACATAACATGCCGATTATTTGTACACGTAAAATGTAAATAATTTAATGCACTTTATACTTCTATTGGTTCATTAAGATACACACATCCGATAACTATTTTCTGTAGATAGTTATAGTCCATAGTCCTCTCACAGTCTGTGATATTAAAAAAATACAATAAATTAGTTTTATATCCACTAATAATGAACACAAAAAAAAATATACTGAACACTTTGAACGTGTCCCTACAACTGACTTGACTAACGCTATAGCGCTCCAGCAAATGTCTAGAAAATTCTAGTGCTTTTAACAGCTATTTATAAATTAATACTGAGAAAAAATAAATTTTCTTCACAATCGAAATATTCCCATATTACAATAATTCAAAAATCCAACAAAGATAAAAACTTCCTTAATCAGCTAACTTCCTACCCGTTCAAAATTTTTCGAAAGATAATTGTACAAGGTTTGTTGATATACTAACAAACACAGATAATACAAGATCATCACCATCTACATGGAGAGACAGACTTCATATCTCTGGCAATAGAGCAAAAATTGTATACAATGGGCGTATTTGTGGATGTTGCTCAACACAGTTTGGCACCATAGCTTTCTCTTTTAACTCAAGAAAATACTCCCATTTACATACTACACTCCCATCATCCTAAAATCTTTCCTTTCCGACAGATTTTTCTTCGTTCAACACGAAGATAACAAACTCATATTAAGAAACTTCAAATCTTTCAAGCTAAAATATTCAGGACAATTACAAAAGCACCATGGTATGTTAGCAATACAACCTTACATATTGACTTTTGTATGCCTACTGTTAACGAACACACACGAATCCACTACAAACGATTCCATGACAACTTACTCGGACATCCTAACATACTCGTAAGTGACATGGCCACAAGACGAATGCCAGGTAACGTCCGTAGAATACTCAAGAGGAGCTGGATGAGGAACCTCCTCACATCGTAATACCACGTCAGGAGAAAGTGCCACTGGGAACTGCTCTCCATTGCCCCTCATGCCTCTCATATCATTGTATTTACAGGAATGCAAATCAAATTCATTAATTGTTGTTAATTTCTTTGCCAGGAGTGAATAAAGATGATTAGTTAAAAAAAAACAGGTAATCTTTATTCCCGTTCATAATAATCTATACCGTGATGACAGCAAAATTATATTACGGCAAGGTAATGGCTGTCATGCCTATCTGGTGACTAACATTTTGTCACAGAATAAAGTTTAAAAATAATAATAGTAATAAAATAAATGATAATTTTTAAGAATATCATTAGGAAACCCCCTTCGGGGTACCCATGGCTACCCATGAAGAGTCTGGTATTCAGTACTTTGTAAGGACATATTTTTTCTTGGTCTAAGTTCATGAAAGAAGATAATTTTATCAATATCAAGCTAAAAACCGACAGGTTTTTACTCTAGCATTATTAACCATTTAAGAGAAACCACACTATAGAGGCTGTGGGGCCCACGGCTGATGGAACAGAATAAGTGTTACCTACGACTGGATTCAAACACGGGACCAGGAGCATAGGAGTCTTGTGATGTATTCACTGAGTTGCCCTACATCCGTAGATTTGACCATATTCATAATACGACCTCGTAAGTGTCAGATATTTAATAAATCGAAGTAAAAAATAAATAATGCGTTATATGTTTTGAAGCATTGGGTCATTTCCTATTCTAGATATAATTATGAACGAAATAGTGTTTTTAAAACGAGATGATTTTGATGTGTCGACCTAACCAGGTGATCTCATAATTTAATTATATGCACTCATCTTCATTATATCTAAACAAATCAGTGTTCAATTAAGTATGAATATCCTATGACTTTTTTTATCATCCGATTTAGACATTTCTAAAAGCTCTCAATTTAAAGTGGTCTATCACATATAAAAGCCACTTCCAAGCAATATAAGGTAATAAGGTTTCTGTTTGCAACAAGAAACATCAAGTAAAGGTAAGTAATATTGCAACGAATTTGTCCTAGTTTCACAAGTAGCCTGCAAATTTTAAGCTACTTTTTGATTAGATTGGGTTTATAAATAATTTTACAAATACAAGTTAAAGAGCAAATTCCATGGATTTTTCAAACAAAAAACGGTAGTTACAGATATTTTGAATACATATTTTTAGATTCTAATAAGAGAGGAGTTATTTATTTTTTTTTTTAAATATCATACTTATGGACTAATAAGTATTAAAAAAATGTTGAATTTGGTAGTCTTGCAGTTTTTCGGTTTTCATTGTTTTTACTACAAAATATCAGAAGAATAATGTAAGTATAAAAACAAAATAGTTCCCATACCACCGCCATTTCCCGATCCTCCCAGAAACAGTCTCCTCTACACCCATTCTGACGCATATTTTGACGCAAATATTTATTTAAAAAAATAATATTTATGCCTAAGGTGGGCGTTGTTTTTTCTTAAAACTATAAAACTATATATATTTCGGTTTGCATTACAGACCATGAAGATCTTTGGCCGCGAGATGTGATCTCCTAACAGAGCTCAGAGAGCCTGGAGGGGGTCACCCAACATCACGTTGCTACGGTCCATGGTCTCCATGGTGCAGCGGCAGACTACCCTTAGCTCCATAGCCGATTTGTGGGCGGGGTGGCCGAATGGGCTAACGCGTGTGCACTGCACCGCTGTTGCCTAGCAACCTGATATATGACTCTATGATATAAAAATAGTCACGAGTTCGTGTCCCGGTGACGTGGGTGTCTTTTAAATCCTCGCTCACAGCTCTGGCTTTAAAACCTCGTATAGCCTTAACAGCAAGTAAGGGAAGGACCAAAAAAAAAAAAATAAAAAGATAAAGAAAGAAGAAAAAAATCCTCTATAGTCGGTGATCATCAGTCCTACGCCCGGTCGGTGTGTGTTGCCTCCAGTAGTCTGACGGGCTCACATACTCGTTAGAGGGGAGACTCAGGCAGCATGGCTTTCCCTGGTAGACGGTCACCCATCCAACTACAAACCCCGCTCGACGTTACTTAACTTCGATTACCTATTGCAAGCGCCTTAGCCCATGCGGCTACCCCAACCCTCTACATATATATATATATATATATATATATATATATATATATATATATATATATATAATATAAATCCAATATATAAAATATAAAAAAAATTAATTATGAAATTATATTTTATTACACACTTATAGTGTGTAATAAAATATCATTTCATAATTAATTTTTTTTTAATATTGGATTTATATTTTATAAACGCTTTAAGTAAAATGATTTATGCTGAAATCCTCAGTTTGAATTAGATCCTAAACTTTCGAATTTCCCAAATTAAAACAAATATTAGGAGAAGGACACTAAAAATATTTGATCACAATTTCCGGAGTTTACAATTGGTTCTTGAATTTTAAATTTTCCCATTTTTATTTTTTCTTCAAGTGAGGAGAATGCAATGAAATGTTTTATTACGATTATTGCTGTTTGAAGTAGGTTATGATTTTTTAAATTTTCCAAATTAAGAAAAAAAATTCTTGGGATAGTGGAGATAACCTCCCCAATTCAGGATAGCTCTGCTATCAAATAAAACAGATAAATTCAATAATTTTTTTTTTCATTAAAATAGACTTTATTATTATTATTTTTATTTTTAATTCTGTTTATTTTGTTTTTTCACTTCTAAATGGTTTCTGAACTCTAAAGAACAAAATAAATAATTCTAATGTATAGTGTTTTACGTCTTAAAGTCCAGATAAAACAAACATCTCTTCTGCATGACGACACCCCCAAGTATATGATAGTAATATAAACATTAACATGGCTTGAATGCTGAAAAATTAAAAAAAAAGGAGTAAAGTGCGTGTAAAAATCGAACGTTTCATTATGCCCGTCATTAAAGTACTTATCTGCTTTATCGGATGCCCGAATATATATTTTGATTATTTCAATCAAACGTAAACTAATTAAATTTTTTTTTTATTTAGAAGATTATGTTAATATCTTTGAAATAATGTTAATAAAGGTAATGAGAGTCTCTTGAAACAATTGTTAAAGGGATGACGATCTCCAATGAGGTTATTATAATTGCCTAAAATTGTAATAGCTATTAATGGAATATTTCCTCAAAATTTTAATCAAGTAAAAAGACTCCCTAGATTAGGATAAATACAAAAACAATTCAAAAACTTGGAACGGTGACCAGTGTACAAAGTTATGGAGGAGAAGAAAACCTTAGGAAAGAAATCAAGATTACAGACTAATTAAATAAATAAATACACTAATATAGCTTTATTACAGGATGAAAGTTATTTTACTTCTCGGCATGGTGGCATTTGCAGCTGCAACCCCTGCCATTAAGGAACAATGGATATCTTTTAAGGTCAGTATAATTAAATGTATATCGTCGAATTCAGAACTACTTGATAAGTGACATTTTTTTACCATGTCAACTCAACAACAAATATTAAATTAGAATTTAATTTATTATTTCTTATAGAGGCGACATGGAAAATCATACCACAGCGTTGAAGAAGAACATCTTAGGATGAACATTTTTTCACACCATCTGAAAATGATCGAAGAGCATAACGCCAAATTCGAAGCTGGTCTGGTTACTTACTCAATGGCCATGAACCGTTTAGGAGATATGGTAATATATTTGATGTTCGCGTGTAATGTTGTATAAAATAATTTTTAATCATTTGTGGTACATTTAATTTCACATTTAATCTTGGAGCTCCCAGAAGAAGTGGCTCAGTTGGGATTCAATGGAAGAAATGAGATGAGGCAAGTACCTAACTTCACATTCCTTCCTCCCGCTAACGTGGAAATCCCAAAGTCAATTGATTGGAGGCAATCTGGAGCAGTCACTCCTGTTAAAGACCAAGATGTGTGTGGAGCTTGTTGGGCTTTCAGCAGTGTAAGTATAATGATTGATTACTACCCAGATAATTGATAAAAATTCTAATAATGAAATAACTTTTACAATTTTCATTTATAGACTGGAGCCATAGAGGGTCAGCTTTTCAGAAAGACTGGAAAACTCGTCTCTCTCAGTGAACAGCAGCTTATAGATTGTTCAAGGAGTTATAATAATAGTGGGTGTAAAGGCGGATTAATGTACAAATCCTTCAACTATCTGAAGGATGTTGAAGGATTAGAAAGCGAAGATTCATATCCTTATAAATCGATGGTAAGCATTTTAAGAATATAGAAATAAAAAAAAATCTTAATCTTTTAGCAAATTTATTTATTATAATCCGTTTTCTAAACGAATAATCAGTAAACAATTATCAAAAAGTACATATAAAAATTATGATTCTTCTTTCAGGATAACAGATGTAGATATAAGAAAAACAATATAGTACCAGGAACCAAAGTCCAAGCTTACACTTACATCCAGTCCATGGATGACGACGCCCTCAAGGCAGCCGTAGCTACAGTTGGACCCATCTCAATTGCAGTCACTGCTGGAAACCCAGGTTTCAAGTTCTATAGAAGAGGTTAATATTAATACATTAAATTTTATAATTAAATTAATATATTATTCTCGGAACGGCTTTTATGATATTAGTCTGACCGATTTTCTAAAATAAAATCAATGATTGAAGGTATTTTCGATGGCGAAACTTGCGGCGATGATGAATACCATGGAATTCTTCTAGTAGGTTACGGATCTGATAACGGCGAAGATTACTGGCTGGTCAAGAACTCCTGGGGAACAGAATGGGGAGAGAATGGTTTCATGAGGTTGACAAGAGCCAAGAAAAACGCCTGTGGTATTTCATCTATGGCCATCTATCCAATTCTGCAATAATGAGCGGAAGCAATTTATTCATTTATTTCACTTCATCATTTCTCTGTTATATTGGTACATTAGATTTTATAACTTCATGAAATTATAGACAAAACAAATTTAAAAATATAATAAAAATTGAAGTCACTTCAACAGAAGTTCAAAGTAGTTGAATGGATGTCGTTCTACATTTATTTATGTTATCTCCTTCTCTCACGAATAAAGAAATCCTTAATTATTTTAAAGAATTTTATTAAAATCGTTACAATTGATTGACATTATTGAGGTCATCTCTACTGCAGCGATCAATCAGACTAAGAGTCTGTGTTATCACCAATTCTATTCTCAGTATACACGACTGAAAGTACTTTGTTATACTTTACTACTACTGTAGCGACATATATAGATGACATTGCGATTTGCATTAGCTCCTTAAACGCAACAAGAACTCTACAGAAGGATGAGAAGGCATGTGAAGAAATTACAAAGAAACTGGAAGGACTTAATATTATAGTTAATCCCAATAAGACCGACTGTATAATGTTTCCTTCCAGAAGAATAAACGTCCTCTTGCTAAGATATATCGGGTAACGGGCAAAATAAATAGGCCAGGAGAGAGCATAGTGTACTTGGGTGTCACCCTTGATAGGCACCTAACACTGTTCCACCACTGCCAGAAGAAGGTTAAGCAGGTGAAGACCGAGTCTTACAGGCTAAATCATCTGTTGACCTTACCAAATATATCTCTCAGCTGCAAATTTTTGATTTATAAAAGCGTCTTAAGACCAGCCCTTCTTCATGGAGCGCCGATTTTATCAAATATATCAGCCTCAACTACAACTAAGCTCCAGCAGTATCAGAACGGAGTACTGAGACCTATTGTGAAACATACGTCATTACAGAGGACAATAACAGACCAACTCCACAAGACTTTTGAACTAACGTCTGTAACAGACTTTATAACACACTGCCACAATTTTTTCGATAGCCTGCAATACGCGACTAACCCACTTTTTAAGACACGAACTCCGATGGGAGACCACAGAAATGGCAAACGCTCACAAAAAGCGTCAGACTTGACTAGACTGCAGACTACTAACTAACTGGACTGGCACAAGACAACTAGTGAGCACCATCACTAGACTAACGACTCACTCTGAAAAATCTTAAACTCTTCATAACTCCCTTAAAATGCATGTAGCCATTTCACTACAAGGAACAGTAAAAGAAACATTTGAAAATCTCAACGACTGATCTTTGGGGATAAGAAATAAAATTACAATTGATCTCCTTTACATAACACTCTATTTCCTTCTATTCAGGTTACATATATATATTTTTATAACAATTAATCACATTCATATTAGTCAGTGGTACAAACCCCCTTTTATCAAATTATTAACATCCGCCTGAAACTTCGTAAATAGCTTTATCTCCTCGTTACCTACAACTATTTTATTGTAGAAAATTCTTGGAACTGGGTCGTTTTCAATCTGTGGATCGCCAAACTTTTCATATTTAATCAGGTACTAAACACTCGTGAATAAGGATTTACTTTTCACTTGAATCGTAAGATAATATTATCACAAAATCGAGAAAAAAGGTTGGCGTGACCTACATCTCCAAAATTTTAAAATAACGAGTTTATATAGGCCAAATGACCCAATATACTTGTATGCCACCTTTTTTAACGATCAAATTATAATACGATCCAAGTGCAAAGCTAATGGGTATTTACAAGTTTTTAGTATATTATTAAATAGACAAACTTTGCCGACCTCCAGATTGAAAACTTCCTAATTCCAAGAGTTTTCGTAAATAAAATAGTTGTACCTTACGATGAGATGAATCTATTTAAGAAGTTTCAGGCATAAATTGATAATTTGATAAAAAATGGTTCTGTTTCAGAGACTGAACTGTTTCTGAATCGATAGTTGACATTTTTACTTTACTTACGTATATATGTAATATATAGTAAGTGTAAGTATTGTAATCGTGAAAATTTTTAATTCTGAGTTTTCAACGAAAATACTCGTTTTGATGTCCCCTGAGTCCAAATAACCAAGTCCCGAAAAATGTCTGTGTGTCTGTGTGTATGTGAACACTAGCTCGAAACCGAAAAGTCGTACGAAACTGATATTACATATTTAAGATAGATATATATCTTAGATATTCTGGCAACTTTCCCCTTAAAATCGGCTAGCCGGAAGTGCCACTTTATATCAACTGCTGAAAAACATTTTACAATTTTCTCAAAAAGGTTCTAACGATTTTGATTAAACTCAGTGTATCATTGTATAATTAAGTGGTCTTTAATACCATTTAGGTCTATCCTCATTGATGTCACTTTACAGGGCTTAAATGCCCAATGTTCATATGCCTCTTCCTCTAAAGTACCTTTAGCATGGTTTATTTTAAATAATCAACTATCTCTCATTATTAAAAGTTACGAAAAAATGCTAAATATAACTTTTGAAATAATTTGATGATGAAATAAAGGAGAAAAAATAAAAGTGCTTATATAGGTCGAAAATGAGTCTCCGGAAATACAAGTCAGAAGGTATGCTTATAATATAGTTGGAAAGAGGAGAATTTTAGAGAAAAAAAAAAAGCAATATCTAATATAGAAATGTGTAGAAGGTAACGCAGAGCGGCGAAAAATGATAAATAATAATTTCTGAAAACTGATAATATTTAACGTAAATCACATGTTTTCAAGGAAATTAAATGAAATTTACTAACTAAATGTAAACTTTAAAAATAGTTTTACGTTTGTAGAAAGTATTTAAAATCCCTAATCAAGGCAATGGCATTGTTAAAAAATATATTTCATTGTACTTTTGTAAAAGAAGAAGTAAAATATAAAATCATTTCATGGATGTGTAAAGCATATATTCATAACCTTAAATATACTTACTGTAGTTTAGTGATTATAGATCTGATATTATATTTAAATAATTAGGTATCAACGTAATCCTAGAAATTGTCATGTAACTTTTTAGAAAATTAAATTAGTGAATAATTTGATGAATTTTCCCTTTGTGAAATCCCAACATTATCATATCTTTCTCTAAAGTACCTTTAATTTGGTTTATTATAAATAATAACTATTTATCATTGATAGGAGTTATGGAGAAAAAGCTTTTGAAAAATATAAGTTTTGAAAGAATTTGATAATTAAATAAAGGAGAAAAAAATAAAAATACTTATACAGGTCGAAAATGAATCTCCGTAAATTCTCGTCAGAAGGCATACGTATTATATATCGTTGGAGAGCGGAGAATTTTAGAAAAAAACAATATCTAATATAGCCAGTTGTAGAAGGTAACGAAGAGGGGCGAAAAAAATATAAATAATAACATGTTTTCAAGGAAATTAAATGAAATTTTGCTACTAAATGTAAACTTTTAAAGTTTTTTTGAAGCATTTAAAACCCACGGATTCAAGGCAATGACATTGTTTAAGATAGTATTTCATTGTACTTGTGTGAAGGAAGAAGTGAAATATAAAAATATTTCATGGATACGTTTCTAACCTTAAATATGTTTACTGTTGTTTAATAACTATAGATCTGACGTTACATTTAAATAATTAGGTATCTATCGTCCGTTTATTCCAAAAAATCATTATGTAACCTTTTAAATTAAATTAAATTAATTTTCCCTTCGCGATATTTCTACAGAATTCACTTACAATTAGTGTGACAACTTTCGAAATCTCATAATTCCGTTTTAATAAACTTTGCAATGGAAAATAACAGTTTAATAACTAATAGTCCTACAATCCATAATCAACGGATCGAATAATTTATAATCAACAAATCTTACAATCCATAATCAACCTGTGATATAATAAATAGGACTTTTGTTATTTTGATAGTATTTATGATCTGTTAGTTACAATCTTTAAAAAATGTAATTCAAAAATTTTATAATAACCCAACACGGCCAGAAAATAATTTCTATTCAAATATGAGTGGTAAGTGAAAGTTGTGTGTCGCACTCACCACATTTTTTATTTTGTCTCCTAACTGTTATAAAATAATTGACGATGTTTTTTTTTAAAAACTTTATAAGAAATACCAGGGATTTGTCGGATAACAAAACCTTGTCTTGATTTTTATTAATAATCAATATATGAAACGATATGATTAATATATGATACGATATATATATATGATATAAAAAATAATATGAAATATAAATAATAATGTGAAATATAAATTATTAAATTATTCTTTTTGTTCGAGTGTTAACGCCAAAAACTATTGAAAATACTGAACCATAAATATTTTAATTATGTTTGTAATGGAAATAATATTATTGGAACGAGACGATTTTGACGTATGAAAGAAGTGACCTCATGCTTTGATTACAAGCAACAAAATTATTTCGACAACTACGATAACATCTTAATTATTTCAACTCAAATCTCTGTTGTCATCCCATCATGTTTTTTATCATCCGAATTTGACATTGATTCCCCAAACCTCTCGAATTTAAGTGGTCCATCAAAATATATAAAAAGCCACATTCAACTACTTTGAGGTACAAACGTTTTAGACAGCAGTAAGAAACATCACATAAAGGTAAGAAACCTTTTAAATAATTTGCTAAAACTGCAATACCATAAGTAGCATGCCAATATTATTAACTTTTTCAATATATATATGTTTATAAATTATTAGCAACAATAATATTTCATATTTATGAACGTTTCGAGATCCGTTTCTTGTGAGCCTATATTGTATCTGCGATATATAAATATATAAGAACACTAGAGATAAACATAAATTTTTTCTTTATTTTTTCTGCACAAAACCTCGCTCTCAATACTTTTGAAAAAAAGAGTGATTCCAATCCTTAAGCATTAGTAGTTGTATTAATTGAATTTTAGAAGGGTGAGGGCAACCTTAAAAAAAATAGTAATAAAAATAACCATAATATTTTTAATTTCACTTACCTATATATGAAATATATAGCAAAGGAAAGTATTGCGATCGTGAAAATTTTCGAATCCAAGTTTTCAACGGGAATGCGGGTTTTGAGGTCTCCAGAGTCGAAATAACCAAGTGTGTGTCAACAGTCCAGCGCAAAAACGAAAAGTCAAACGAAAGTGAAATTGCATATTTAAGGTTTTAATATGCTTGGAATGTTACAGCTACTTTTTCGTCAAAATCGACCAACCGGAAGCGGTATTTTATATCATGGACTAAATACATTTTACGATTTTCTTGAAAACGGCTCTAACGATTTAGATTAAATTCATTATATCAGTGTAAAATTAAACAGTTTTGAATAAAATGTAGGTTTTATTCTGATTGATGTTCTCTAACAGAGCTTAAATGGCTAATTTTAAGTATTAGCTTCCCCCTAAAGTACCTTTATTTTTTTTTATTTGAAACAATTAACCATTTCACATTAATCTCTAATATAAAAGATAGTTAAATACCAAATATGAAACAATTTGAGGATTTCTTAAAGGAGAAATAAGAGATTGTAACGGAGAATAGTTTATTGAGCAACCAAAGGAACACGAGAGCACCCGAGCTCGCCCGAAAGATTATAACATGCTTCCATATGTAACATGAGCTTAATATCAGTGCGGGCATTTGGGTGGGGCAACCGGGGCAATTGCCTCGGTGTGCAAAGATATCTTCAGGACTCCGTCAATATCATCTAAATACACATACGGTTTACATCAATGCTGTTGTTGGTATTATTTAAAATTTAATTGTATAGATTACGGCAACATAAATATTAAAATTTGGATAAATAAGGGTTCTTATACAAGTAAAAATACCCACAATGAAATATAAATAATTGTAGCGTTTATAATTTTTACTTTCACTTCACCTTTGTCTCAAAATATTTATTTCTGCTAATAAGTGGGTGGTAAGTGAAAGTTGTGTGATGTGCGCACCGAACCAGATTTCTTAATTTAACATGTGGGTAAAGGTGTGGAGGAGAAATAAAATTTAATGAAAAGAGCTAATATAAATTAAATCTTAAAATTAATGCAAGTCGCTTTGATTGAAATCTATTTTAACAACGCGGCTTATCAGAAATATGAACAAAAGGTCTCTACAGTGGTGCCCAGAAGGAAGTTTCAAGGCGCAAGTTGCCCCATCAAAATTTTTGAGGGGGGCACATTTTCATGTGGTTTCGAATTTTTGAGAGGGATGAATTTCGACGAGGTAATGAATTTTCGAAATGAAATGTTTCAAATTAGGAACAAGAGGAAGGCATAGAACAGACCACAGAAATTGTAAATGCATTTGACCTATAATTTTTAAAATTCTACTTCAGCTTGCACTGTTTTCAAGAAAAGGGAAGCAATAAAATATAAAATAAAGAGGGAGAGACGTGTATGCGCCATCGACCTTGGAGGGAAAGGACACCCACCGCTGGGCCATTATCTATTGCATAACACGGCTCAGATTTTTGGTGAAGTTCTGGCGGTCCCTAATCTCACTAGTCACTAAAGTCACTAAAGTTTATGTTCTAAATGTTTACTCAAAGTCCTAAAAATTGAAATTGATTAAAATTTTTGCAGGATAAATAAAAAAAAATATATCAATAATATAGACTAATTAAATAAATAAATAGACTAATAAAACTTTATTATAGGATGAAAGTTATTTTACTCCTCGCCATGGTGGCTTTTGCAGCAGCAACGCCTGCCATTAAGGAACAATGGACATCTTTTAAGGTTAATATAATTTACTGTATATCATCGAATTCAGGACTACTTGATAACTGATATTTTTTACCATGTAAGCTGAATAACAAATAGTTAATTTATTCTTTATTATAGAGTCGACATGGAAAATCATACAACAGCATTGAAGAAGAACATCTTAGGATGAACATTTTTTCACACCATCTGAAAATGATCGAAGAACATAACGCTAAATTCGAAGCTGGTCTGGTAACTTACTCTATGAGGATGAACCATTTAGGAGATATGGTAATATATTTGGTTTTTTGTGAGTAATGTTGAATAAAATAATTTTTCATAAGCGGTTGTACATTAAATTCCATATATCGTAGCTCCCAGAAGAAGTGACCCAGTTGGGATTCAATAAAACAGAAGAAATGAGGAGAGTACCAAGCTTCACATTCCTTCCTCCAGCAAACGTTGAAATCCCAGAATCCATTGACTGGACGCAGACTGGTGCAGTCACTCCAGTGAAAAACCAAGGTCATTGTGGATCTTGTTGGGCTTTCAGCAGTGTAAGTTTAGAGGTTAAATTCTATTTAGAATAACTGTTAGACGTCCTAAAAAAACATTAATAGTCTTATTTTTTTAACTTTAGACTGGAGCCCTAGAAGGCCAGCTTTTCAGGAAGACTGGAAAACGCGTATCTCTCAGTGAACAGCAGCTTGTGGATTGTTCAAGGAGTTACAAAAATGGTGGATGTAGAGGCGGTTTAATGGACAACTCTTTCAACTATCTAAAGGACGTTGAAGGATTGCAAAGCGAAAGTTCCTATCCTTATGAAGGAATTGTAAGAGTTTTTTTTAATATACTAATTAACAAACAATTAGTCCTAAAGCAAATGTATTTTTAAAATTTCGGCATGTAAGAACGTTTTTCTCTGTTTTTAAAATATAACGCGTATTCACAGTTCCTCCTAATAAAGTTGGAAGGTTGAAATTTTGTACCTATATTAAGTTGGTACCAAATTAAGGTTTAAACCAAACGTATTTTATACAATCAATTTTATAAATAAACAATCGTAAATACCAATCAGCTCCTTATTATCAAAATGGTAATTTTTTCTTTCAGGATAACAGATGTAGATACAACAAGGATAAGGTAGTGCCAGGAACCCAAGTCAAAGCATACACTGACATCCAGTCTATGGATGACGATGCTCTTCAGGCTGCCGTAGCTACAGTTGGACCAGTCTCCATTGCAGTCAGTGCTGGCAACAATGGTTTCATGTTCTATGAAGGAGGTAATTATTAGTATATTGTACTAGTAATTTAGTGTTTGTAATGTTTTCTGATTGTGATTAAAAACAACTCTGATTGTAGGTGTTTTTGATGGCGAAACATGCGGCGATTTAGACCACGGAATCCTCCTAGTTGGCTACGGATCAGAAGACGGCGAAGACTACTGGCTCGTCAAGAACTCCTGGGGCCCAAGGTGGGGAGAGAATGGTTACATGAAGTTGACTAGGGCCAAGAAAAATGCCTGTGGAATCTCTACTGCTGCAAGCTATCCTATTCTGTAATCAACGCAGACTTCATACATTAATTTATTATTAATTATTACATTAAATTATTATTTTTTAATTTTCAGAACAAACTTTAAATTATTTAAATAAATGTCTTTTTATAGTAATATTTCTCTTAATTTTATTTCCATCCTAACCGGAATTTTAAATAATACATGAGGTTTTATATAATTGTATAACCAGTATCAGAGAATTTTCTGAGATACAACTTCTGAATTTATTTTATTTTCACTTATCCGTATATGAAAAGAATGCAATCTTGAAAAGTTTCTAAATCGAGATTTCAATAGAACTACACGTTTTGGGGTTCCTGAATCTAAAAAAATCTTGCAAAATGGTCAAAGTTTGTGAACAGCATAGATAAAATTTGAAACAGAAGTTATACATTTAAGGCAGATATATGCCAGGGATCTTATAGCAACTTTTTTGACAAAATCGACTTACCGTTAGCGGAACTTATATCTGCGATTTTACACATTTTTACAATTTGCTCGGAAGCGGCTTTATCGATTTTAATTAAACTCACATCGAATTTTAATCAAGTGACCTTTAAATCAGGCACGTGTTATTGAAATATTGCACTGGGATTAAATGGAAATTTCAAATGTCTTCATCTAAAGTACGTTTAATTCTGTTCATTTAAAATAATTAATCTTAATAGATTAATAGATTAATACAAAATAGATAAATAAACACTATAAAGAAATGTGTTAATTAGCTAAAGGAACAAGATACTGTTAATCGGAAAAAAGCCAAGGGTTCCAGACTTTTCCCGATCTTATTCCATTTAAACTAAATTTTTAAACAAGTATTTATTGAATATTAACACAATTAGTCTGTGGACCAGACCCCCCGCCTCCACATCCCTACAAATTGAATATCGTTCTGTTCTTTGTACCTATTTATTAAAAAAAAGCTGATGTTCCCACAAAAAAAGTGAACGAACTGCCCCAAAATGGTGTCTAAATATGGTGGACTGACGACTTTGACTTTATTTTTTTATTATTTTTTTTTATTGTTTTATTAAGTATTAATACAGTCTGCCACACTGAAGGGCATTGGTACTAGGACTATAGTATTCATTCACACAATATGTGCATAAGAAAGGAAAATAAAAATAAAATAAAATAAAAAGATATATATATATATATATATATATATATATATATATATATATATATATATATATATAAAAAGATAAAGTAATATACAAGATAAGTAAAATAACAGATTAAAGCCGAATGATAATAAAATAAATAAAACACATTCACACCAATGTACAATATTTACATTGTCCCAGGATACTCTGAATCAAGCTTTGTCCCCCGAATGTGGAAGCCAAA